TCTTACACACCACCACCTGGGCCCCCACAGGATCGTCTTACACACCACCTGGGCCCACACAGGGTTATCCTTACTACCACCTGGGCCAGCTGGCCAGAGCAAAGTAGCAGCCTCCCCTTTTTTCCAGCCATGGTTACAATGTATTTCTTCCCTATTCTTGTAGTACTGCAACCCCTGCTTGGCTTTTCCAGGGCAGCAGCCCTCAGTCTCATGATAAGGTGTAACTTACAAGGACAGCCCGAGAGCTCATGTGCTGCAGTCCTGAACACACTAAGTCCACAGTTCTATTTCTCAGTATGTTGTACTATCTGCAGCTGTCATCTTTCATACTTTCTTTTCCTTCACAGCAGTAACGAGATGGTTTAGTTAGTTACTTTCAGTTGCTGAAGGATTTCTGACGCCATGGAAACTCAATGGAATTCGGGTAAGCAGTTGGTACTGTCTGGAGTTGGGCCATGACTCATGGCAAACTTATGTTCAAGGGGATCAAACCACCATGAGGTTTCCACTGGCTCATTTTCAGAAGCAGAGTGCCAGGCCTTTCTTCCTAGTCTTAGCCTGAAGTTCTGTGGAAGCCTATTTTGTGTCATCAGCAACACACAAGCCTCTACTGACAAGAGAGTTTGAGATCACAGGCTGGGTTTCAAATCCAGGTTCCGTGGATGCAAGATAAGAACTCTGTTACTGAACAACTACTCTCCTCAACAGTTAAGTAGTCTCTCCAGTTACAAGATGAGGCATACCTACAATCATGTGGTCAAGATAAAACAGTGTCAGGCAAATGGCATGAAGGTATTAAAATTGGCCAGTATTCTACCAGAAAAATGATAAGCTATCATTTCATACACACAGAAATTCAGGAAACCAGGAAAAAGATGCAAAGTTCTAAAAGCTAAATCTATTCACGAAATTTAAGTCATAAATTGACAATAAAAAAAAAGAGCAATTTCCACTTTAAAGGTAAAATATCATATGCTTGTACTCCAAGCTCCAAAAACGCTGGTTATCAAGAAAAAGTCAGAGAGGCTCAAAGTACTCTGTTACCTATTTGGAGAGATTTGAGCCCAAATATGACATTATCACGTAACACAGCACTAATACACAGCTTACATGTGAAAACCCGACAATATGAAGGAATTTAAGGCTTTATTTAATATGCACCCGGTGATGCTGTGTCAAGTGCTCCACTGGTACCTGAGAGGAGGCCTGCACTTACTAGCCACTCTGTGGGGGAAAGGTGAGGTGGTGGCCAGCTCTGTAAAGATTTACAGCCCTGGAAACCTTACGGGGCAATTCTACTTTATCGTATGGGGTTCCGAGGAATCAGAATCCACTCGACAGCAGTGGATTTCTGGGACTTGATCTCATGGCTTTCTGTTGTTGTAGGGTGCCATCAAGCCATCTGCCACTCACAGTGATCCTGTGTACACAGCTCTGAACCCTGCTCGATCTTAGCCAATCTCACTGTCTCTGACACATCTACCCCATTACCCCAGTCCTCTCCTTGTCAGATATGCTTGGCCGGACCATGGCTACCTCACTGGTGCAAGGAGTCCTTTTATACGTTAAGGCACCCTTTGTGTCAGCCACACCACCTGCCTCCTCTCTACTCTACTTTAGCTTTCAAAAAGCTCATGGTGAATCACCAAGAAGAAAGACATTCATTCTGTCTCAGCTCAAGTAATGAAGTTTAAGGTTAGAAATCTGGAGAAGGGTAGGGAGATTTTCTTAAATCTGTGAGGACTGATTCAGGATTATGCCGGCTGATCAAAGAGACTGCACTTTCTGGGAACGAAGTGAAAAGTCCCTAGTCATGGCCACTCCGCTGGGGGAAATTTGGACTGAACTCTCCCTACAGAACAAACAAGGAAACAAGGCAACTCGAGTCGGCTCTTAAACAATGAAGTCTTCACGGAGCAAGACCGTCCTCCCAGCAGTATGATGTCCACCGGGGACCATACAATGCCCGTTTTTGGGGCTGTTTCAGCACTCTTAACACCTGCACACCTGCAAACAGCCAGCACTAGGACATGGCTCAAAGAAGACCTATAAGTGCTGACTTTAGAAGAAAGAGACTAGAGATCAGGTAAAAACTACGTGGAAAAACCTGCTCTGGGCACGTTCCGGTTTGATGCTCCTCTTACGTCAGCTAAACTCTTACCAACTTAGCATCGGCACATTAGACTCTCATCAATGGGCTGACATTTAATTGAGTGACTATCTTGGAAATGCACTTTCTTTTCTTTTTTTTTTCTTGTGTACCGTTGAATCAGATCCAACTGTCATAGAAGGAGACTGCCACTCCTTCTCCAGTGGAGCATCTGGTGGATTCAAACTGTGTGCCTTTGGGATTGCAGCACAGCTTCTTGCCACTAGGCTACCAGAACACCCTATGCACATTTCTTTAAAAAGGAAACTGTCATCATGCCATTGAGTGTCTTACTTCCGTGAATAATGCAGGGGTGTGTTTATTTTTACTCACAATCGCCTGCCCCCAAAAATCAATTCTCTGGTGCTCTGCTCTGCACAAAGTCATTTCAAATGGCCAGGTACATGGGCTCACGTAAAGAGGAAGTCTCTGTCCACTTAAAACTACAGAGCTTCCTTCCATGTGGAATTGTCTCCAGAGAATGTTACAATCTCAGAAGACTGAACCCAACCATCTCCTTTTGGAATTATCGAAACTGCACAATGCTGGAAGTCGCACAGTCTGGTTAGGTTCTACCTGTTAACGTGGCACAGACTTGCCAGCCAACTGCAATGGGGCCCAAGGTCCACACAGATAAAAACCCATTTTTGTGTTCCAATGCTAATTTTCACCAGCTCTTGACGACTCAGGTCCTATCAAACGTTCTGTTGCCCAGAGTCCGCCTGTCAGCCTCCATTACCTTCCAGTTGGGTCCCAAGGGGCCTCTCTTGGTTTTGACTGACTGGAATAACGCCGGGTCTTCATCAGCTTTATAGTCCTGCAAAAACAAAATACAGTCAGCGGGAGAGAAGATGACCAGAGGAAATGCTTCATCAACCAGACAGCAGCTCTTTGCAAGCTGCCAAGACTCACAAAGAAACAACATGTGAGCTTGCTGTAGAGTTCTGGGTGGGCGGAAGGTACAGAATCAAGTTTACAGTTTGGTTGTGTTAGCTTTGTTGTTGTTGTTACACACTATGGAGTTGACCCTCCAGTGGGTTTTCAGAGGCTGTAAATCACCTGGGAGGAGACTGTCCATCTTCCTCCCGCAGAGCAGCTAGTGGATTAGAAACACGTGCCTCTGGGATGGCAGTGCTGCACCTTCCTCCTCATCCTCCTCCTCTGCTTTACCCTCTTGTTTTAAGCAAAAGAACGATATAATAAGCAGTAATAAAGTTTTGGCCAGCAGGCCACCATGAAATGCACACGATCACATTTTAAGGAATAAAGTGGAGCCACCCCAGGTGACGTGGCACTTGCAGATGGGCAAGGGACACCTGCTCTGGACACTTGTCCTCTGGCAGCACAAGTCGGGAACCCTAATTCTGATAGATCCCAGGGTCTCTGAGGGCTGGGTCTGCAGCACACACTTCTGTTTCTTGACTGTTAGAGTTCTTGGCAGGTTCCACTGAGTCAAGCACGACTCCTAGCGACCCTGTGAACAGAGATCAGAACCCTGTCCTGTCCTGCATCATCCTCACCATCTGATACACTCAAGCCTATTACAGCAGTCTCAGTATTAATCCACCTCATTGAGGGTCTCCCTCTCTTGCTGACCCATTATCTTTCAAAGCATGAAGTTTTCATTATTCCTTTTCAAGGAATAATCTCACCTAGTTATACGTGTAAAGTATACACAAGGAACTCAAAATATTACACAACATGGGTGACCCTGGAGGATGTTATGCTGAGTGAAATATCTCGGTCATAAAAGGACAAATACGGCATAATGACACTGTTATGAAACAGGACTGACATGGGAGTTGGGGGGGGACTAAGAAAAAAAGAGGGGATAAATAATACACACTGCATTGAAACAGACAAGGGAAAGAACTGTTTAAAAGGAATACGATTAGGTATAATCTGCATGACAGTAGTCCAGAATAAGAGCTGCACAGTAAAGTGGACTGGCGGAGGGTGTGTGTGTGTGTGTGTGTGTGTGTGTGTGTGTAATGGGCAACAATGAAATAATTATTTTTTTTTCTCAAAGAGAAAAGTGAACCGGGGTGGGGGGTGGGGTGAGTAGGGAGAAAAATGTGCAACAATGAATGAATGTAAATCCAAGTTTTCTATAAACTTCCATTAAAATTTCAATTAAAATAAATTATTATTATAAAAGATGAAGTGTCACCATCTTTCTTTCTAAATTCTCCTCCAGAGTACTATGGGGTTCTCCCACGGGGTATACAAAGCTTCTGTGGGGCTGAAAGCTGCTGTTCTAGAGATAAGAGCTGTATAGACACACAAAGTCACCAAGATACTTAAGCAAAACTTTCACAATTCAAATACACCGAGAATCAATCAAATCAGACTCAAGTCAGAAAGAGTATGTTACATGTTAATTCTCAAAGAGGAAATATTAAGTAAGGTTTGGAAGCAGGAGTAGTATCCACTTCCTAAACAACCTGCCTCTGGAAACTATGAACTTTGATAAACGTTGATAGTTACAGAGGAGCTTCAGGCCTTTTGTTCAAAGGGTCGCTTTGAGGCATGTTTGACTCGAAAGCAATCAACAACTGCTAAGGAGGCGTGGTTTGTAACAAGCAAGTAAGCAAACAGACAACAAAACACAAGGTGAATGAAAACTCACAGCAGACTTATCGTTCTCCCAAAAATGGCTGGTGCTTCGAATCCGCCAGTGGCCTTGGAAGAAAGATGGGCAAACTCCTCTCATGCCATTTACAACATCATGAAACCCAATGAAGGGTCAGCTATGACCCACTTGATGGCAGTGAGTGAAGCAGCAAAATCTGTGTACTGTAGAGTCAGAACCAAACCACAGCTGACCCTTTGGCGGGTTTTCAGAGCAATTAATCACATGGGAGGAGACTGCCCATCCTTCTCCAGAGGGGCAGCTGGAGGCCTCGAATTGCATGCCTTCGGAATTACAGTGCAGCTTCTCGCCATTAGGCCACCAGAGGTATATACCAGTAAACAAATCTAAAATATGGCCACCATAAAGGAGTTCCCTGAGGGGCTAAATCAGGGTTAGGGTCACTGGCTTAGGAAGTCAGTCTAAGGATGATTAGAGTGAAAATATGAGTGAGGAGATCAGACGGACTCCCTGCTCATCACGACACCCAACCCCGGGCTCCACATCAGGCCACTGACTTCAGGAACTGTCACTATCCATTAGACATCCTGTTGTTGTTAGGTGCTGTCTAGTTGAGTTTGACTCCTAGGGACCTCGTGAAGAACAGATCTGAGCCCTGTCCTAGCCTGTGCCGTCCTCACCACCTCTGACACACTTGAGCCTATTGCTGAGGTCAGTGTGTCAATCCATCTTGCCGGAGGTCTTCCTCTATCCTGCTGAGCCTCCTCCTTCCCAAGCCTGATGTCCTTTTTCCAGGAAGAGATTCTCCTTAGCAACATGTCCAAAGTACGTCAGAAGAAACACTAGTGTCTTTGTAAGTAGTGCAAACAGTTAACAAACGAGTTTGTCTTTGTAAATGATCAGATGAGCTAAGAAAAACAGAAATCAGAGGAACACAGGCAAGCGTCTCTCCACCTCCCACATTGTCCTACAAAGTCCAGGCTCCCATTATTCGTGCCTGCCGTTCTGAACTATAAGCTCGCAGAGTGAGGGAGGCCAATTGGGCCTTAAAGACCAGCCAAGCCCCTCAGTTCATAGGTAGGGAAACTGCAGGCCCTGTGTCTCAGTCCCCTGAGATGTCGAGGTGAGCCTGGCCTGGGCTGGATCTGGTACATCCCACGGGATGAAGGCAAAAGGGCGTCAACAAGTGCCAGGTACACAAAAAACATTCTAGCAACATCAGGAAACACAGGGTGGGGGCACCAACACGGACGTTTCGACAAGGCAAGAGTTTGAGCATGTATTAAACACACACACACACACACACACACACACCTCCCTCTGCCCTTTTCCTCTTGAAGACAAAGCAATCAACATTAAAGATTATCATGCTGAAAATGTAACAAAACCCAATTATTAACAATATCACCTTAACCTTGACAGGTGAAGATAATACATCATGTCAAAACTGAGGCATTTGGGGGCTTTTGAAAATATTGGGCTGAATCGGTAAATGTTTAATCAGTGGAAGTCAAGCAGTTGTTGGGGTGTCTGAAAAGCCTGGAGCAGGCACTGTGGCTTCAACGACCTCAACTGCATATCTCCTGAACAAACACAGAACTGCCCCCCCCCCGACCCCCAAACAATATTTTCTTCTCTTGCTACGATTTGATTTGGGGATAGGGGTGTGGGGAGTATATGGCTTGGTCTTCCTGTCCATATCTGAAAACTTGCCAATTTATACCCATATCACAACGAACAAATATATTCCTTCATGTATGACAGTTTCAGCACGCAGGATGCAACCCCGGCTACCAATTATAGCTGCAAATGAGCAATAGTGTGGAATGAGACAGCCTGCTGGCTTTGTTAGGATTCGGGCTCCTCCGGGATCCCGTGGGGAAAGGGGAGGCTCTGATGAAGAGAAGCCCCTGGCTCATGGTTTATTGTGCTTGCCACCAGCTGTACACTTCTCATCTCATTAGTTTGCTCCCAACACTCTGGGTGAAGACAGCTGGAGCCTACTTGATTCTTCAGCTCCTGGGTATTCTGAAGGCTGAATTGCCTATGCACTTTCTGTAATCCTTAGGAGAAGGTAGGAAAAAAGCAAGGAGGAGGAGGGAAGGAAGGAAGAAAGAAAAAAAAGGCAAAACAAATTCACTGGGCCAAGCAAATGCATTTTTAAAATTGAGTCTCACCCATCATGTTTCAAAAGTAGAAAAATCTTATTGCAAAGGTGTATTGTGTCTAAATTTCTTTTCTGATCAAATTGTAATTATCCGTCTAACGCCCAGAGGGCTGGCTGGGGATGAGAGCTTAGTCAAATCATCATTATTCAAGTTAGGTGTGATGTCCCTGGACAGAACTCGCTCCACCAATAACAGTGGCCAAACAATATGAAAATAACGGGTAGGAGCGTAAGGTGGGTTCGGAGTAGTGTTAATATGACTCTATTTAATTGAAAACTTGTATCAAAGTGAGAGGGAAGGCAAAGTGAAGATGCCCTTTGGAGAACAGATAAAATCCAATAAGGCAAAGAACGGCTTATGGCGCCTCCACACTGGAGCCACAGAACACATTCATTAAGTTCTTATAAATAACCGTTTTCTGTCACCAGAATACAAAAGTTGGGCGACCTCTTGGATGTACATGTTACTCACGATGGAAATTCTCAACAGAAAGGAGACTCATTTTAAAGACAAAGCATTTTAGTTTCACGAATCTATTTCAGCATTGCGGCTGTCCCCAAGTTGTGGTGAAATCTGTGATGAGTGTCACCTAAATGTCCCCGAGGCCAGACTCCCCTAGTGGTTATGAATGGAGAAAGAAGTGGTGGCAGGGCTGCCAGGCCCCACAGGTGAGGAGGAGTGCCAACCACGTCCAAATGGCAACACTGGCAACTGCTGATATCTCAGCAACCTGGTGGCATCGTGGCTAAAGTGCTTGGTTCCAAACAAACCAACAAACTGGTGGCTGGAACCCACCAACCACTCTTGGGGAGAAAGATGTGGGAGGCAGATTCTTAGGCATTAAAAACCCTGGGAAGCTAAAAGGCAGTTCTCGCCTCTCCTGGAGGGATGTGAGAGTTAAAATCAAGCCCACAGGTAGAAGGCTCCTTTTAGGATTGAAAAGTTAGTTTGGGAGAAAGTAAAGAAAAGCAATTTTATAGCACAAACATAAAACCTGAGGTCAGCTGGGCCCTGTTGTACTTTTCACCATCTGTTGTCAAAGCAGAAAAATGATTGATTAGCTATCTATTCAAACAGTGCAAAGATAACCACTAAGTTTAGAGTGTGTGGATATTGGTGTATACCTTAGGAAGGTTTCTGTCCTCTAGCTACACCCTGAAACTGAAGCCTGGGATAAGGAGGTGGTGCTTTTTGCATGCTATCAAGTTGGAACTGGCCCACAGCTGACTCCAGGTTTTCAGAGACAGTATATTGCATGGAAGAGAAAGCCCATCCTTCTCCTGTGGAGCAGTTGGTAGATTCGAACCACATGCCGTTGGGACTGCAGCCCAGCTTCTACCCACTACGCCAACAGAACTCCTAGGCATAGCGGGAGAGGCAGAATGAAATATAAACAGAAATAACCATCCTTTCTTAGCACCTCTTAGTATGGCTGTACTTAAAACAGCAGGGAGTGACTAGATCTTAACATCCATCAAATGAACAACTCAATGGGTAAACACTGAGTCAGCTTCCACATGCAAAACTCGCAATAGTGAGTAACAAAGATAAAAGAAAAATAAAGTTAGTAACTTGTTTAAGAAATTGATTTTGACAGTTATTTTCAAATAACCAGGTTTCTTTTCTGTTTTTTAATTACACCTCCTCAACCTTTCAAGTTCCCATAGTGTAATATTAATGGAGTATCAGTAAATCTCATTAATTCAGACCACACTAACCTAGGAATTTGTAATAATTTAGACCAGGGGCAAGGGCTGAAGTTTATCTTTGCATGATCTATGGGAAAAAAAAAAAAAAAAAAGAAGGAATAAAAAAGAAAAAGATTGGCTACACAAATTAATAGAGTAACAAGATCTCAGGAGGGCTGTTTAAACAGTTCAGAAGTGTTTTAGAGCAATTCAGAGGCATTCATTTGCATATAATTATTATGCTAATTACAAATCATTCTTATCTATTCATTAAAGCAGATTCCCAAAGGGCCACTAATTGTCAATAACTTGTTGGCCTAGTTTCTGTTACTGAACGTACCTCAGAGGAACAAAATTGTGTTAAAAAAATATTCTAAAAAAAGATTTCTAGAATTCAGCCCCCTCATTAATCCTTACTACCTTCCTGCCAACGGATCCTGAAAGGTGAATACACAGTTAAGCAGAGCCGGGGACCTTTCTAATCTTGACCTTCTATGTTGTTGCTGCGGACTGTTGAGTCAGAAGGGACTCAGAGCTGACGCTCCAGCGGGTCTTCTGAAGCTGTTAATTCCACATGCGGAGACCGGCCATCCTTTTCCAGTGGAGCAGCTGGTGGATTCGAGCCATGTTCTTTTGCACTGGCCGTCCAACTCCTTACCACTAAGCCGCCAAAGCCCCCTTGAGCTTCCATTCTGAGCTAGGATGGTAGCCAAGTCAGCAGGCCAAAAGGGACGAGGTGGTGAGGGAGCTCAGAGGCCACCAACACATAGGTGGCTCATCAAGCCTTATCCTTCTCATCCGCATCGTAGCCAGAAATTGCCAACAACGTCCCGAGTAAAATGGCAGATTCCAAATCTTTGGAAGGTTAGAGAGAAATCAAAAGAGCATGAACCCAATGCCTTACAGGGCACTCTAATACCCTACAGCACAGCCAGAGCCGACAGCAATATAGTAGATGGAAATGAGCAGGTGAGGCCAAGGGAAGCAAGGGGGCCACTGGGCATAGAGAGCAAGGGGTGGGCAGGAAGGAAGCCTGGCAGCCCAGGTCTTGGGAGGGGGGAGGGGCGGCTTACTAAGTAAACCTTCACAGGCTGCTATTCAGCCCTCCCGTGATGGGCCCTGGTTTGCATATACTTCTGTTTCACATAAATTACTTGCAATATAATTACTATTGTAATAATTTTTATTATATATTTCTATGATTTCAATGGAGATATTCACACTCCAGAGACCTTGGGATCCAAGTTTTAATACATTTAATAAGTCAACTTTGTTGTTAAGTGTCATCAAGTCATAGGTGACTCATGAACAAAAGACCTCAACACTTGTATAACTTTCGTTTCTCCCCATTCATAGAGTTTCCAGAGACAAACTATTTCAGAAGTGGATGCCACTCCTGCTTCCAAGCTTGTTTAATTGGGGAGCTCCACTAAACACTGTCCACCACAGATAACCATTATCGCATTTGACATGTCAGTGTCCCAGTGTTCAGCTTCACAGTAACCACAAGTTACCTCTGTACAGCCAAGTGGACAGACCATGGCTATACCACTTAGAAAAATGTTTGACAAAAACAATTAAAACTGGCCTGAGGGCCACTTTGTTATTCCCCCCCCAAGCATCATCATATAATCTGTTGGCTGATTGGGTAAAAAAGTTGGGCTGCCAACCCTAAGGATTCTTTGTGGGAGAAAGATGGTCAATGGGGTCTTGTGTGATGAAAAGCCTGCTGGAGGGTCAGCTGTAAGTCAGTTCCAACCCAAGCAAACAACAACATCATAAAAATTGTGTGGTCCTAAACCAGAATATACCTTAAAAAAAAAGTGTTACGGACCCCCAAAACATGTATTTGCAACATAAGCTCTCCGAGTATTAAATAGGAAACAATTTTTGAAAAAAAAAAGGAGTATGACAGCAGGAATAAAACAGGGTAGGCCACATCCACGTCCTTGCTCCCATTTTTTGGTGCACCCTGTGCCAGGCAGCATGTCCTGTCCCCGCTCGGGGGTAAAGGCAGCATCTTCATGCCACAGGCTGGGAAGGTAGAACTGTGGCTTCCTGACTCCTATTCCCCAGAAGGACGGTGGGGACTCGGATCCTGCTGTGACACCAGAGTGGAAATGGGACTGAGACATCATCATCGTCATTCTAAGGCTCATTTCTTGAAGGGCTGGCTCTTTGTTCCTGCAGCCCAGAGAATTTCCTGCTGCTGAAAAGGGGAGGTTTAGGAGGGAATTACTACCGCCAGGCAGTTCTGACTGAGGGCAACACCAAGTGTGCCAGAGTAGAAGGTGTTTCCATGATTGTGACCTTTCAGAAACAGACAGCCAGGCATTTCTTCAAAGGCACTTTGGGATCACTGTCAAATGCCATGCGAATAAACTTCTGTTAGTGATGAGCGCTTAAAAGTTTGCGTCACTCAGGAGCTCCCTTTTAACAGAACGCCTGTCGAAAATATCTACTGGGAGCGGGTTTATTAACTCGGAAAATCAGTCTTTACTTCTTCAAAATCACTTCCTGGTTCTTACCAGATTCTTTCTCTCCCACTCACAAAGCAGAGTGACATGATTTCACACCCACCTCCTCCATCATCCTCCTTTCTGTTTACAAAACAGGAAAGAAATTAGGAGCAAATATTAAGAAAGGGTTCTATACTGAGAAAACAGCTTGGGCCAAACATTTGCCCCAGTGATTTTCAACAGAAAGAAAACACAAATCTTGCTACAATTTAAGGAAGTAAGCAGTACGTCATTTCTCCACAAGGGGGCACTGTCATCTAACAACAAATAGGACGCAAAATCTTTTGGGGTCCCTGGGTGATGCAGACAGGTGACCAGAAAGTAACTGAGTCTTCAAGAAAGCAGAGTAAATTGGGGAATATTTCCATATTCATATTAATAGGGATTGTGCTTACATATGTACTTTGAGATCGAGGGGTGGGGGTTGTCTCTATTAACTTACTCTAATAAAGGGTCTGGGCCCCACAGAATGGAAGGAAGACCCAGATTCACACTATCATCAGCAGAAGAAAGAGTTCCTCTGCTGGGCTAAGTGACTCTTCACACCAGAGGCCAAGTATTTGGCAACTCGCCTCTTTCTTTTGAGCCACAGGGCTGGGCAGCCACGGCCCTGATAAGCAGAGAGCCCTTCTTCAGAAAAAAAGAGGTTAAGAATTTCAACAGATGCTCCTTGAATGCTGGGGACAGAGCAGATACAGTGGTCAGTGCTGGCTACTTTGGGTAACACAGAGGATCAATGAGGTTGACCCGTAAGAAACTCATTTTCCCCCGAGGGCAAAAAACTAACAAACAACAACAACTGCATGTGATCTGGCCTCGTGCAACCTTTCCCAATTAGATCCCATGTTTTAAAATTTTGATAAGGAAAAATGAACTTTACAAAGGAGCACATTTTTTGATTTTTACAATTCTTTAAACAGTGTTGCCTTCTGAAGACTATGAATAAAGCAAATGGTACTGAGATGATGTGCTCAAATAGATAACATCTAGGAGAGTTCCACCCGGACGCGTTCTCTCGTGGTGCACGTGTGTCTGCCAAGCTCTGGTCGCCGGGGACATGGACGCTTTGGACCGGAGTCAGCTTTGTGACTTAGACTAACTGATGATGTTGAAGATTCAGGAACAACCACTAAACTCTTGTTTGCCCTATGACACTGAATAAAATCCTTCTACCATTCTCCAGGTCGTATGTATGACTACCATGTGCTAGATATGATTGAATTGGGTATTGAGAAATTCATCTCTCTCAAAGATATTAAGAACAGCAAATGTCCTGAGGGAACAAAACCTATGTTAATATTTGCTGGTGATGATTTTGATGTAACTGAAGACTATAGAAGACTAAAAAGTCTTCTTATTGATTTCTTCAGAGGTCCCACAGTATCAAATATCCGCCTGGCCGGTTTGGATTATGTTCTGCACTTTACTGCACTGAATGGGAAGATTCATTTTCGAAGCTATAAGTTGCTGTTGAAGAAATCAGGTTGCAGAACACCCAGAATTGAATTGGAAGAGATGGGACCCTCCTTGGATCTGGTCCTGAGGAGAACTCATCTGGCATCAGATGACCTTTATAAGTTATCTATGAAAAAGCCAAAAGCCCTCAAGCAAAAGAAGAGGAAAAATATATCCCAGGATACCTTTGGTACAACTTATGGAAAGATCCACATGCAGAAGCAAGACCTCAGCAAATTACAAACCAGAAAAATGAAAGGATTGAAGAAGAGACCAGCAGAAAGGATAGCAATAGAAAATGAGGAAAATCTATCAAAGAGAATTAAAAAAGATTGATGAAACTTAGCCAATGACTACATTTTACTCTTTTTAAGAGAATTAACGAGCATCAGTTAGTTCAATCTGACTTAATAGATTTTATTGCATATTAAAAAAAAAAAAGATAACATCTAGGAGCTGTTTAGAGAAAAAAACAAAGGAAAGTAAAGATACACACGAGTCTTCCTACACTGTACACTGCACCTGAATTGGAACCAATTCTCAGTTGATCCTCCAGGGGGGTTTCAACTGCACAGGAAGAAATAGTCCATCTTCTTCAGTGGAGCAGCTGATGGATTCAAATCATGCCAGCCTTTAGTTTGGAAGCACAACTCCTTAACCACTCACTAGGCCACCACAGCTCCCTAAGTCCTTTCCAGGAGACAAGAAACAAGTATTGCTTAAGGTGTGACCAAAACTTCTGAGCCTCTAGGATTCAACATTAAATAAACTCAACCAAGGTCTTATCAACATTTCCAAGGCTGAAATTCAGGAAAACTATTCTACAGAAGAGGATTAACTTAAACAATGTGCACTTAAGATACATATATTACAAGTGTTAAACTCTAGTCATTGAAATGCTCAATAATGAAATCTTGTGTTCAAAATCAAAATAGCTACATGCACAAAACAGCAAATCTGCTATACCTATTTCCCAAAGTGACTGGAATGGCTGAAAATTTGGCCCTGGCTTAGCATACTCCTGGCCTCATCTAAAATGGGTCACCATTCTGCAAAAGGATATTTACCAAAACAAATGGATCAGACCCAAAGAATAGATGATCAATGATAGAAGGAACAGGTCAAAAGGGCATAAGTTTTAAAACTATTTCACCTCCTCTGCTGCCATCAATCCTTATCCTGGGATTTCTACAGCTGCTCAAACCCCGAGGAGGAAGCTTGCCATCACATCAGCCAGTTAAAATGCCCAGGGTTATTTGTTTAGTCAAACCTTCAAACCTCCCAGCTCAGGTTAAACTTTGAACTCTGATTTCCCAGCAGTCTAAGGCCAGAAATGGTCACTAGCAGTGGTGAGAAAAAAAACTCTCTGGAGGTCAAATTCCCGAGGTTCAGTTTTTGGTTTTTTTTTTCCCTAAGTACCTTGGAACACCAGTAGCCAGGAAATAAAAAAATGTATTGCCATGGGAAAGTTAGCCAATTTCCTGATTGAAACTAAATTGAACTAAAGCTGTTAGGGACCTCTCCAGGGTACTGAAGAGTAATGGTGCCACTCTGGAGACTAAGGTGTGTCTGATACAGGCTATAGTTTTGCAATCATTTGTTATGCATCAGAGAGTTGGACAATGACTAGGGAGGATAGATGGAGAATTGATGCCTTTGAGCTGTGGTGCTGGAGAAGAGTATTGAATGTACCATGGACTGCCAAGAAAACAAACCTGGAGAGGATTAAACCAGGCTGCTCCTTGGAGGCAAGGATTCTGGGGCTTCGTCTGACATACTCTGGACATGTTGTAAGGAGGGACCGGTCCTTGAAGAGGGACATCATGCTTGGGAGGGTGGAGGGACAGCGCAGGAGGGGAAGGCCCCCTATGAGGTGGATTGATTTAGTGACTGGGGTAATTGGGATGGGTGTGTCAGAGGCAGTGCGACTGGCACAGGATAGAGCAGGTTTTAGGGCTGTTATACAGAGGGTCGCTATGAATTACAAGTGATTCAAGGGCACATAACAATAACAACCACCACCACCACCACCTCCACCCTGCTGGAACAATACCTCAAGAACTCATAAGCAACATTTGTATCTACCAGCAACACTTGTATCCATTAGTCGTACTATTTGTATCCACAAGCAACATTTGTAACAAACTAACTCAAAGTCACTTGGAGACACTTAAAGGATTTCACTGAGTAAGAAAGTTGCACTTTTTAAAAAGTCCACTAGCAACAAGTGAATTTCATCCATCAACAGAAACTTCATGTGACAGAACAGGACTGTCCCATAGGTTTCCAACGTCTTCAATCTTTATGAAAGCAGCTGACCCATCTTTTTCCCCTTGAAGGAGGTGGTGGATTCTTACCAGTTGAGAGGTACAGCCAAGCACAATGACCTCCCACTGAGCTTCGGAAGCTGTAAACCACACTGGAGACTGTCCATCTTTCTCCCTCAGAAATGCTGAAGAGGTTGGGCCTTGGGTTAGCACGGGCACGTCCATACAGGTGAGACCCCCAGAGCTTCCTTCCTATTACACAAGTACAGACTTGCCAGAGAGCCCTGGAGGGGTCAAGCAGAGGAGTTGGGGTCTCCTGGCTGAGAGAGAGACCCCTGGGGGGAAGCTGAATCAAGCAAACGTGCTTGACAAGCCAGGAAACAGGCTGAGCCTAATGACAGAGCAGTGATCTCTCAGCTATGCTGGAGGAACCAACCACCTGTGAGAGTGGCTGAGGAGTTTTACGGCTGGAAAAAGGCAAGGGGGTACACCTGCTTAGGGCCAAAGCCGGGGAGGCAGTCTGGCTGCACAGGGCAGCCACAGCACTCTAAGCCAGCACTGTGAGACAGCACCTGTACTCCCCTCACCTAGACAAGGATGGGAAGCAAAGAAGATACTGGGGGTGAAAATGAGGTGGTAACTACATCAAGGGACGGGTGAGGATAGGGAGCAGAGGAGGAACAGCTGGGATCCAGAGAATTTAACAAAGACAGAAAGAACAGGACCCTTTAAAGTGGTTCTGACTCTAAAATAGTGCTTAAAAACACAACAGGGGTCTGCAGCGAGGGGGAAGGCTCCCAAAGGCTGCGTCTCTGGTGGTTCGAAGCCACCAGTGACTCTGCGGAAGACAGACAGGCTGCTTCCTCCCATTGAGATTTAAAGTCTTGTTATAAAGATGGGGGTGAGGGGACGTCACCAGACATGGATAGGGTTAAGAGCTCTGCACTGACACCCCCATGAAGGACCCTGTCAATCAGAGCACATCCCAAACAACCTTCCTGTGACCCAGACACAGTATGGATCAATCTTCTAATAAGTAGAGAATATGCTCGTGTCTTAAAAACGGGCAACTCTTGGTTGTAAAATAGTCTGGAAAAACCCTTCACTGTAAGGCAAACATCACGCTATGACACACTGGAGCATGGCACGAGAAGGGCTCCACTCCCTCTTTAACCTTGTTGCTGTTGCTGTGTATCATCAAGTTGAAACTGACCCACAGCTGAACCTCCGGCAGGTTTTCAGAGGCAGTTTAATCTCACGGAAGGAAACTGCCCATCCTTCTCTGGAAGAGCAGCTGGAGGTTTTGAACCATGTGCTTTTGGAACTGCAGCACAACTTCTTAACACTAGTCGACAACTTAACGCAGACTCACTCATTCACCCACCCACTGCCATCGGGCTGGTTCTGATTTGTGGTGAGCTTCCAGCGGCCTTCTGAGACTGTAAAGTGTAACCAGAGGAGCCTGTCCCCCTCTGTCCCGAGGAGCAGCTGGGGGATTCGAACTGCCAGTCAGGGCCTTTGGAATAGCAGTGAGACCTGCTGGGAAGCTATGCTCCAGAGTGCCCTTAACAGAGAGTAGATTCACATTTTAAAACTACACTTCTTAATTTTCCCATCAATATTATTTGCTTCTTACTGACTGAACTCTGAAAAAGAGGCGGATACTGAGCTATGTCATTTTTAGATGTGTCAGTCTTTAAAAAGCTATTGCAGTACTTCACCCTTACTTAAAATGAACCAAAAATTACCATCTCCACCCCCTCCCTTGAAAATTCTAAAAGGAAATCACAGAGAATGTTCTAGAGAGGAGGCATGCACTGTGGAGAAAGGCTAAAGAATCCTTTCTTGTTCCATATAAATACCTAAAAATGTGGTTCCAATTTCTCCCCCTCTTCTTTTCTTTTTTAAAAGTGGAACTCATTTTCTTTCAAATTACTTCCAAAAACGAAGGTCCCTCTGATGTTAAGCGTGTGTGTACACTTCGGCTTCTACTTGAAAGAGGCCTCCTCTCCTGGGAAGTGGCTTGTGTATACAAATCAGGGAAAGCTACTTAGACAAAGTGCTGGACATGATTACTAGGGGCCAAATGCAAATTTATACCTTTAAGAAAAAAAGGCAGAAGCAGATGTCAAGTGACTCATTTGTATATATTTCTTTAATGAGCTGGGAGATATGCATGTGCATTTCATCAAGGCGTTTAAAGAATTCCCAACTTCTTCTTGTGGTCATGTATCCACAACTTTAGAAACAAAAGCACACACATACAATCACCTTTTCAGTTTACCTTTGGGCATTTTATGCTGGATAGCCTGATTCATGTTACTATGTGATCTAAGCCAAACAAGCTGGTACCTCACTGAAAGGTTCTTGCTCCTTGGAAAAAGACACTCAGAACTTTCAGAATTGGAGACAGGGTACATAATACTCTTCCAGATGGATTGGTGAAGAAGGAAGTAATTTAAGATTCTGATCATTTAATGCTTAAATGATAAAAACCTCCATTCCTCCAATGTGCTCCCTAACTCCTTTTTTTAACCTGGTTTGCTTACAAAGTTCGTATCCATTGTGTTTCACACTATTCTTCAGTCACATTGTTTCGTACAACCTTTCCCATGCACTATGTTTTATAAAATTAATCCCCATGGGACATTGCCCATCAGGACCCTGTCATTTTGCCTGGATCCTTCCCCTTTACTCCCCCCTCCCTCTACTCACTGAACTATGCTACCCTGGGGTTTCGCCCCTACCTCCCCATTAACTACAAAGAAAGGCCTGAAATTCTCTTGCATCCACCAAATCGTTGCTGGTGTTCACTCCAAGTTGAGTGCATTCTTGTGGGGTCCTGGAAACACACAGCTGGTAGGTAATTATTTGTGCTTCCCTGTCCCCAAAGGACCTAAGGAAGGTGTTTCAGGAGGGGGACCTACTTGCCAGGGACAAGAGTGGGGCTTTGGAGAGGGTCGGGGAGTTCAAAGGTCAGAATGAAAGAGAGGTGTGCTCTACGAGAAGAGTGGGTGTTCAATGACTCTCAGAAGGTCAAACAGACAGGCTCTTACTTCTCAAAGGAAG